AACCTTTGGTTAAAATTATACACTCTGCATCGTAATAAAATAAATAAATAAAATAACTTTATTGTCATTGTATGTGTATTACACAGTATACCCATACAACGAAATTCACTTAACACCCAAAGACCAGGTCCAACACACATAACAATCCCCAAACACCCGCCCACCCACCACAATTCTCCACCCCAAACCACCAAACATCCACACAACAGACCAAGTAATACTGTCCAACAGCTCACTGATGGTGGCCCTTTAATAGTTGGATGGGCAAAGAGGGGAGAGAACCATGCCAGGCATATTGTGACATCATCATGCAAATCATGTAATTTATACCAATTGCGAATGGAGGGGAACAGAATCATGAATAAAAAAATGAAAACACCAATATAGAGCCACAGTATCAATAAGGACCAAATACTAAATAAGTACAAGTAAATACGAGTACAAAATGCAATCCAATCTTCAGTCTTCAAAGGCATTCTGGAAAGCCATCAATAAGGCTAGCTGACTTGTGCTTGAGACGGAGCCTATTCCAGGACCTTGGGGCCATAATCGAGCAACAGTGTCTGCTGAGATTGAGAGGATCTCAAGAAGTTTTGCCCAGGCTGGGTCACTTCTATCAGGGAAGGAGATTTGCTAGGGTCAAGACATAGATGGCTGTTCAAATCTGTACCAGAAACCACCTTAATAACCAATGTAGCAACTACTCCATTTTCCTTAATAAAATGAGAATGCTAAAGCCCCCAGTGGTAACCTAATGTTCTGTTCAATTATGGTTTGCATTCCACAATGGCTGTTTTCATACAACCTGCTTGCTAAACTCAAACCCAACAAACCACAGATGTCAAGGAAAAGGGAGCTAGCCCAACCTTAATCTTTATGTTGCATGTCTCCAAAAGTGAGTAGGAAAAGGTCCCCTTTTGGAGCTGCATTCAGGATATTTGGGGTGTTCCATAACAGTGTGCTAGCCTTAAGACACTAGCCCTTTCAAGTCTTTCAAACTGCAAAAACAACTTTTGACTTCATTCGCTCTGTGGGCTTCAAAGGAAAACTGGAGTTATTGGAAGATTACACCAAGTACAGTCTGGAGAGCACATGCAAAGTGTGATTGGTTGTTCTGCAAATGATTGGGTTATTATAAGCACGCTGAGCTATGTAAAGTACAAAAGAAACACCTTCATGAATAACCTTGCTCATTAAACCAGCCTTCTTACCTGGGATTAGAAGCTACTAACTACAAAATTAATTTTGTAAAAGGAATCCAGACAGAAACCAGTAAATGACAGAGCAGCTAACATAATACCTACATGTAAAAAAGGTGGAAGAGAAACCATTTACAGAGTGTAAACCATGTTGAAGAGAAATCTATAAGACTTCTGCCTTGGGCAATTATTTAAATTACTTTGAGGTTCTGTTCATACAATGTAAGCCTTGGTTTGTTCAAAGCCAGTTTAGTGACTAAGCCACTAATGGCTCATTTCATATAACTTAAGCCATCGCTATCAAATCATACTAGCTTCGCCTACACAACACAATGACACTTTAGACAAGCATACTGTGCACACTCAGAAAACAGTGAATTGAATAAACAGTTAATCACAAGTAAGCAATTCAAGTAAACAGTTCGGAAGTATTCATTGCTAAAAAAAAATTAAGCAACCCAACTAAGGCCTCTTGGTTGTTGTTTTTTTTGCAAAAGCAGGAAGCAAAGGCTGTACACATCTGGGTGAGGATAAGCAAACAAGAGACCAAAGTTTGCAGGTGACACAACATTTTAAATGCCTAAATATCATAAGGCAGGTGGCAATAAAATAGTAGCCGAAGTTTAAGCAAGATGGTTGTAAGTCAATCAATTACTTTAAGTTGAGCAACTTTTTTGACCTTATTCACACATCATGGAAAAGCTGTAAAGTGGTCTGTCATTATTAATTTACTACAATGTGTAAACTTAATCATTGTGTTTTGTTACACAGCTTAGCATCTCATCAATTCAGCCAATTTATGCTTACTGAATAAAAAGTAATTAAATGATGGCTTCGTGCAAAAACTGGACACAGTATAAACAATCATAGGAATTGGGTTGTGGTGGGAAAGCACAACAACAACAAAATAATGTCCTTTCAGTATGCAGCAGAATAAAGAATAGTTAATCCCATAGTATAGATCAGGAAAGGGACTGATGTTTTAACTGCTTGTGTTATCTTTAAATAAACACAAAGTATCACCACACTAAGAGCTATTAAAAACATGACTCTCTCTAATGGCTTTTTATCCACACACACACAGAGGCTTCTACATATGCAAGCAAGGCAGGACAGAGACACCCAAATGCCTAAGATTTCCACAGCAGGGTTTGCTATTGCTTGTATGGCTGTATCTTGGTTTATCTTCTCTCTCTCTCTCTCTCTCTCTCTCTCTCTCTCTCTCTCTCTCTCTCTCTCTCTCTCTCTCTCATTCTCTCTCTCCAGGAAATACAGGCTAGTAGGCTTGTACGTTACAACCCAATCGCTTAATTAACTCTCACAAGTTAAATCTCCGAGCGAAGTTGGAGCATCTATGCAACGCAACTGTTCACTCTAACTTCATTCAGCCAATCGGGGTCAGCTTTCTTCCGCTCGTCTTGAAATAAACGCGATCGAAACTTAGGAAGTCCCGTCGCTCCTCAGAAGTCAAAAGTTTCCTAACCCAACCCAACCGGGCCGGACGAAGCCTCCTCTCAAGCTGCTCCCGCGCAAAAAAAAAAAAGCAAGCAAGCCGGGACCTAAGGACGGCATTTGCACGAAACCAGACCCGTTTAAAGGGGAAAGCAGCGGATGCGGAGCCACATGCGAGTTTTAAGAACGCTCGGGAACCCCCGAGGCTTTCCCTACGCTTCGTTCGCCAAGCACCACCTAGATACCCATGAGCCTCGTTCACATCTCCCTCAACTTATCCGCACCCTTATAAACGGTTTGCTGCATCGGCGTCCAGGCAGGTTTTGGGGTGTGTTTTTTTTTTTTTTTGAACGGACCGAGGAGAGACCTCCTTCTCACAAACGATGCCTTTTAAACGAGGTTTGTTTCTCCTTGCAGCGTCGTTCCCCCCCTCCCCTCGCCTCGAAACGCTCTTTGCTTTCAAGTGACGGGGGCTGCAAACTTTGGGGTGGGAAGAAGAGTGGCGGGAGGAAAGCGGCGTCCTTTGAACTGTTGCTTCTTCCCACCGCCGCCGAAGCCACGATCCCTTCGCCAGAAACAGGATCGGGGAAGCCTGATGAGGAAACGTGGGGTGGGGAGCGCTTTCAATGGGATCCAGCGTTTAAAGAAGCTTGCAGAGCCAAGTTGGGGGGGGGGGGACACACTTTAGCTGGGATGTCATCTCCACCACCCTCTGTTGCCTTTTACCTGATTGCATTGGGGGCTCGGCTCGCCCTGGAGCTGGAGCGAGAAAAGAGTCATTAGCAGCTTGGTAATCCCATGTCCCTGAATTTGCCGAATTCCGTTAGGGATGCAGGCTCAGCAGCTCCTGCTCCAGCTTAAATCTCAGCGGGGGAGAGAGAGAGAGAGAGAGAGCTCAACAGCACAGCCACATGGTTACTGCACTTCTCCAGCTCGGGTGCAGCTGATTATATACACCCGACGGGTTTCATGGGCAATGTAGTTCTCACCGGACGAATCCTACCGCCCTCTGCCAGCCGATAGAGTCTCAGAAAAGGACTACCGCTCCCAGCATGCTCTCGGCTGGAAGGACGGGGCGGCTTCAAGAGGCTCGGCAAAACAGAGCAATGTTTCTCTGTCAAATCAAAAGGAAGGTTTCAGCAAGCGGACGGTGGAAGAAGCGAAAGTTCTCCCTTCCCGGCCCCCTTTCTTTTTCGCTTTTCTCTTCCAGCTGCCGCTTAACTAATTATTCGGTCCAGTAATACTCCCCCACCCCGGTTCCGCTATAAGAAGAAGGGGAGGAAATTTTGTGGGGGGAGAATTTCTCTCCAGCCCCCTCCCCGGTGTTTTGCAACTGGTCAACTCTTTTCCGAACTTCCTGGAACAAGCCAAGAATTCTGATTATCTGCGGCATCTGTGATTATCTGCAGACTGTGATAAAAGCGTAATAGAATTCAGTGATGTAGTTGGATTTTATTTTATTTTATTTGTTTTATGTATCAAATTTATATGGGTGCCCATCTCCCAAGAAGTTACATTGGACAGCATACAATACTCAAAACAATATAAATACACTTAATTATAAAAATTTAAGCCGCCATTATTAAAAAGTATTAGTCAAACTTAAAACATACAAACCACAAAGCATGGAGAAAGTGAAACTATCAACCATAGTAGTGGTTATAATATTGTTGTAAGCTGCCTGGAGTCACTTGACATTTTAGGATGGAAACACCAAGCTGGGGACGTAAGTACCGTAGGTCTTAAGAAACTTCTAGAACATTAAATGTACAGTATCGGGTTTTTCATTATGACCATCAAGTTGGTGTTGATTCTTGTTGAGTACATTGATAAGAGTTTTCTCCATGACGATCTGCCCATAATTTGGCCCTTCCAACAGTACGGTCATTGCAGGGGTGAAATCCAGCAGGTTCTGACATGTTCTGGAGAACCAGTAGCGGAAATTTTGAGCAGTTCGGAGAACAGGCAAATACCACCTCTGGCTGGCCCCAGAGTGTGGTGGGAATGGAGATTTTGCAATATCCTTCCCTCAGGAGTGGGGTGGGAATGGAGATTTTGTAGTGTCCTTCCCCTGCCACTCCCACCAAGCCATATCACACCCACCAAGCCACGCCCACAGAACCGGTAGTAAAAAATTTTGGATTTCACCACTGGTTCATTGCCATTGTAATAAGTGCATTCAGTTGCTGGTTCTCCTCCTTTTTCTTGTTCTTCATTTTCCTCCTCTTCCTCCTCCTCCTCCTTTCCCAGCATTACTGACATCTTCAGAAAACTAGGTCTTTATACAATGTGTTGTTGTAGTACAATAATTTTAGTTTGGTAATTTATGCCTCAAGTGAGAATTCTGGATTGATTTGTCTGAATATCCATTTATTTGTTTATTATTAATTCCCATCTTCTAAAATGATGGATTGATTTCTTTAAAATGTTTATAGTTTGCACATTATCAAGCATCCTATGATAGATAATAATCCAAAATGGAGTAAAAATAAATAATTTAAAAAAACAATAAAGACAGTAAAAGAAAACAAAAAGTTTGTTGGAGTTTTGGTCATGTAGATTCTGGATGTCACAGGAAAAAGCCAGATTTTCATCTGCTTAGGAAAGTCAGACAGAATGAGTATCAACCTGGCTTCCAGTAAAAAGATACCACAAAACTAGGTTGCCCCAACAGAAACACCAATCTCTTTTTGCCCATATAATGCAATCTCTCAGCTGTGGGATTTTGAGGATCTTAATCTTACATAACCTAATAGTAAAGCAGGTAATTCTTCAGTATCTGGATCCTAACAATTAATAGCCTTAAAATCCAATACTAAAACTTTGAAGTCTGATTGCTAATATGCAGGAACTGGTGTACTTTCCTTAGAGCTGATATTATGTGATCTCTAAAGCATATATCAAAGAACAGTCTCATTCCTGTATTCTCACCACCTAATATAAGAAGCTGAAGAGTTTGGAAAAGTATCAGGAGGAATGTTAGACATAACCAACAAGTGGAAGAGGACTTCATTAGTAGATTATTTCATCACTGGCAATTCAGTTCAGGCTGCAAAATGGCAGGGAGCAATTGATTCCAAGTATTGAAAGAGCCTCAAACAATCCCCTAATACAAGGGTGTCACATTCAAGGCCTGTGGGCCGGATGCGGCCCACGGGGTGCTTAAATCTGGACTGCAGGACCGGCCTGGAAATAGCAAAGGATCGGCCCGCGGCGTTTCTCCTAGCAAAAATGGGGGGCCCGCAACCAGTTTTTGGCCTGGAATGCCCCATTTTGGCCAGCAGGTTGCTGCAGGAGCAGCAGTGGGTTTCAGCAGGTTCTGACCGGTTCTGGAGAACCAGTAGCAGAAATTTTGAGTAGTTTGGAGAACCGGTAAATACCACCTCTGACTGGCCGCACCCCCATCTATTCTCTGCCTCTCGAGTCCCAGCTGAACGGAAAGAAATGGGGGATTTTGCAGTAACCTTCCCCTGGAGTGGGGTGGGAATGGAGATTTTCCAGTATCTTTCCCCTACCATGCCACCAAGCCACACCCACAGAACCAGTAGTAAAAAAATTTGAAACCCACCACTGTGCAGGAGGCGTCTGTCCCATCTGTCCCACCTCCCAGCTGACCCACGGAGGAGAACTACAATGCTGATCCGGCCCTTGAAGAAATCCAGTTTGACACCCCTGCCCTAATAAATAAAGATTGGAGGTGCCTATCAGTTGCCAAGATTCTGTCCAGTACTTCATAGTTAATTGTCACTTATTAAAATCAGTATTATTTTTGTTTACTGTGGTTGAGACTGAAGCTCCTGAGTCGTCCTCAAGGCAGATCCACATCTTTCTTCCACAATGGAAAGTTAACAGAGTAAGGGCTACTGTGCCCAAGCCATTCTTGTTCCACTAAGGAATGTAGCTGCCAGACATTATGATCTTCTACACAGTATCCTTCTCCTTTCCGCATAAGTGTATGGATTGAAGTGTAAGGAATCTGATTCTCGTGCCATAAAATATTGTTTGTTGTGTTTCTATGCCGCCGGACTCAGAAGACAATTCCTGGGAAATTACAGAATAAAACATAAACAGATAGTAAAAACAAGGAAAACACAGAACCACCAAAAAACAATGGGCACTTTCTAGATTTAATTTCCTTTTGACTTAATTCTTGAAGATACCTCCCCCTCCCATTTAAAAGACACAAACCTGTGTCATTTTACGAAGTTCCAAGATGTATTGTTTTCACTGCAGCAGACTTACATGGATATCACACTTGATTATGAATATCTGTTGCTGGAGGGAACAGCAGGAGAGTTTTGTAACCTGGGAATTTTACCTGGTCTTATATTTTTGGGGGCTCCAAAATAAGCACTAAGGCTTATTTTTTGGGAAACACGATTTCAGGATGAACGGCCTGATTGGGCGTCCCACCCTCTGGCGTGTGTGGGACGCCAGAGGGTGGGACAAAAGGCGGTGAGTGCACGGGGCCTGATGTCTGGCAGCAGCTGCAACCCGCTGGCCCCTTGGTTGGCGCCCCCCCTGCAGTGTGAGTTGATTACCTGTCCAAGCAGCAGACGGCAGCAGAGGCACGGGGAGGCACATAATCCAGACATGCTGCATGGGCTGAAAGCAACATGAGAGATGGGATGGAGTGGATGGGTGGCCGCGGGAGGCTTGTCTTCACGTCTCTCTGCTTGCTTGCAGCCCATATGGAGCATCAAGATCGCCTGCCTTCCCCATATAAGAGACCTCAGAGAATGCTTGATAAGAATCAATTAAAATTTAGCTATTACCTCCAATGGTCTGCACCAGAGGTGGGTTTCAGCAGGTTCTGACCAGTTCTGGAAAACCGGTAGCAGAAATTTTGAGTAGTTCGGAGAACCAGTAGTAAAAATTCTGACTCCCCCACCCATCTATTCTTTGCCTCCCAAGTCCCAGCTGATTGGGAGTAAATGGGGATTTTGCAGTAACCTTCCCCTGAATTGGGTGGGAATGAAGATTTTATAGTATCGTTCCCCAGCCACGGCCACCAAGCCACACTCACAAGCCATGCCATGGCCACCAAGCCACACCCACAGAATCAGTAGTAAAAAAATTTGAAACCCACCAGTGGTCTGCACATATATTTGACATATTTTGGCTGAAATCCACAACACTCTTAACATGAGTTTAGCTTAGTTAGTCAAGAATGCACATATTCTGATTGGCTATATCACCAGCATCTGGAACTGATAAAAGCATCAAGAACTGCAGACTTCTCATGCATAGGATGATCAGAGTAGTTACTATATGATACAAAAAGATAAATCTACATCTAGTTTTTATACTTCAGTGTCAGTGACTCCCTATACACTGATACAACAAAAAATGTTTGATTTATTTGAAGCCATTTATCCCAAATATTAAATATATTAGGCTTTTTTAATTAAAAAAATGTATATCAATTTTCTTTAGTTAATAAGCAAGACATCTATTATTAAGTTAAATTTTAATGTGCAGTCAATTTGGATGCACACCTACTGACATGAGGATCCTTATTTGATGCTGATTATTCTCAGAGACCTTCTCCATTGCTTAAGTTTTTTTTAAAAAAAGATCAATCACAATTTTATCATGATGCAAGGCAAAATTATGCTTTGATTTCAAGACATCCCTATTTAAAAAAATATTTGCTAATACAGTTCCCAGCACTTTTGGACAGTCAGTGAACAGGTACATAGCCAGAAAAGTGCATTTCATCATGGTGTCTTAGAAATATTTGTTCAGTAAAGTGAGGATTGTTTTTCTCCTCTCTTCAGATTTTCTCCCAGTGAAAGAGATGTGTAATCTCACTTTGTTCACCTTTACCATATGTTTATTATGCACACAGAAGAGGGATAGGCAACTTTTGAGTCAGTGAACACATATGAAATTTTAGAGAAATGACCTAGCTGTTCTCATAAAACTACTATTACAAGAAGCTAAGTGTTTGATAAGACATAATTTTGAATTTATCTTGTGCCTGTTTTACCATAACTTTGTCTTTTGTCTGGGCAGATGGAGATACCATTCAAATAAAACTACCCAGAATTTTTGGGTATGGCAAACAAGTTGAAAAATAAATAAAGCACTAAGTTGCAGCCATTGACTATTTTTATTATCAAAAATAGTTCATAGGGCACAGAATCATTCTACTGATACTGATGCTATATGTTAATTAATTTTTAATTAAAAGAACTATAATCAGGAATTTATCTGAAGAGAACAGGCTGATTTTAAACATAGTATTATAGATTTGAAGATTTCTACAACACACTTGATATTGATATTTAAGTCTGTTAGTAAACCAAGAAATTTTATTTGGAATGCATTTGTTTATTAGTTCAGTTTCCAAGGCTTTTTTATTTTACCTCTTATTTAATTCAATGTACAAAGGTTAATAAATCTTAGGTTTTAATATCTAAGGTAAAAGCAGTGATTTTCTTTCATATTATTTATATACCACTGAAAGTGTTTGGTTCATAGTTAAAATATGTGATTTGCTTTGTTTGTGTGGAGTTTACCATGTTGTATGAACTCAGATAAATATAATTCAGAATTGAAATGTATTTGAATATATGTAGTTCAGGTTGGTAGTTGGGCTTTTGGTCTGAGCGCTGAGCTTGGCAATTTTGTTGCAAACGTTTCGTCACCATTCAAGGAGACATAGTCAATGCGCTTTGAATTGTGCTCATATGTCAGTGCTCTGACAGACGAGCACAATTCAAAGCGCACTGATGATGTCTCCTCAGCCCAAATAATTCAGTAAATATGGATAAAAATCAATACTGGAAAGATTTTATACCTAGTATAATGATTAGATGCTCTCTCTGTTCCATGTTCTTTTGCTCCAAAATTTATCGCTGAGAATTAGGAAGATGTATGTGGTATTTATGTTCTCCATCTAACATCAGCCAGAAGTCAATACTTTGATCCCAATATTTCAACCCATTATCTCTTTCTCCTGCCTTCTAGAGTCAACAGCTATATGGATACCCATTTCCTGCCCTTAAAAGTTTCTGCCATCTGTTCTTTGTTTATAAAACAACTTTCTCTGGCATAAAAATTGGAGATTTCAGCCTCACCAGGCTCAACCTTTACAATCATTTAGCATAATGAATAAGATCAGCCTTGTGTTAACTCTGATAAGAAGAGTACAAGTATATATAGTAAGGCTTGCATTTGAGAATTTATCCATGCTATCTAGCTACTCTATGCATCTGATGGTTTAATTGCATCTGATGAGTGCCCTGGAGGCACAGATTATCTAGACCTGTTTCTATTAGGTTTCAGAGTACAGTTTAATATTGCAACTGCTTTGATCACCTGGAAAGTTGAGATGGTGGTCCTTGTTCTCTTTAATGGCTTTAGATATCGTTGACCACAGTATCCTTTTGAGCCAGCTCCATGGGTTGGGGATTGGGGGTTCTGTGTTATAGTGGTTCTTCTCTTCCTGTCTCAAGGGCCGGGTACAGTTGGTATTGGTAGGTCTCTCCTTTGTGACATGCCCTAGAATTCTATTCTCTCCCCCCTCCTTTTCAAAACTTACATGAAACTGCTGGATGAGATAATTCACCAGTTTGGGGTCCTATATTGCTTTAATTGGGATGACCTTTGAGTAATCATGCTAGATTCCTTTTGATATACAGTGCTAGAATTCTCGCTCATCCTTCCCAGGAACATCTCGTCCTCCATCACCATAATGAAGCAGCACAGTGATTGTTTAAGAGTCCACACTGACTTGACAGCACATAATCAATCAATCACATGTGACAGACAAATGCTATCTTTTTGGCTTAATGAGATCTGCAAATTGCATATGCTTATCCCTAGGACAATACAAGGAATAAACTACGGTAGGACACTTTAAAAATTTGTGTACACTATTTAACTACAGGAATTTTTTTAAGTTGGAAACTTAAATAAATATATTTGTGTATGCCACATTGTTTTTACCCCTTACATAGGAAAAATCTTCCAAAATTTGGTTCATATGAATGTATGCAATGGAATTTAATGCTGCATTCCAAAATTGGATTAAAGCAAATGCTTCTTTGAATTCATCAATTCGGCAGCTCTTAGGAAAACGTATAGTTTAGCAAAAGAAGTGTATGCTTTCATTTCCTAAGAACTTAAGTCAACTAAATCTCAAAAAGTCACAGATGAGAGTGTGCCCTATTTTATTCAGTTTTAAAATCCTCTCAATGGGAAGTATTTATTTATTGTGTTTCAAAGCCATCGTATTCCAAAAAGACACTGGACAGTTTATAATATTTAAGATTACAACATTAAAGATAGCCAATGTGTGATTTCCACTGATTTGCAAGTATTTTTCAGCTTTTGTGATTTTCTAGAGAGTTTCAGAAAATTCTTCCTATCTCCTGTGGGCACATCCAGTGGTGAGATTCAGCCAGTTCGCACCATTTCGGGAGAACCGGTTGTTAACTTTCTGAGCAGTTTGGTGAACTGGTTGTTGGAAGAAATCATTAGGGCAGAGAATCAGTTGTTAAATTATTTGAATCCCACCACTGGGCACATCATCCTTGTCCTTTTATTGCATTTTATAGATTCTTTAATTTTGGGACTATCTTATTACTGGAAATGACATTGTCACTGACCAGATGCGGTGGAAGATAAACCCCTCCGTTTATTGAAATCCGATTTTAAAAAATCATATTCCAGGAGCTCTTAATCCCAGTAACACTAAAGTATCTAGTAACTCATTTAAACACCTGTATTTTCTGCCTTATATTCCTTTCACTTCCTAAAGCCGAGCAACTGAAGCAGCTTTCTCCAAAATAGAATTTATCCTTAGTTTCAGTTTATAAAGCCATTTAGCAAAAAACAAATAGGCGTCCGGATTTTCCTGCCGTCGCGAACCTTTGCGCGTTGGGAGGAAAGTCCCGAGTGACTAGGAATACAGTATATTTTTGGGGGAAGAAGAACCGGTAGAGGGAGCAAAGTGGTCAGCTGACCTCTTCTCTTTCACGTGACTTTCCTTACACTATGGCTGCGCCCAGGCACAGTTTGCTTCGGGTGAT